TGTCCCGGACTCCGGCCCTCGGCGCCAGAGGCACAGAAGCACCTCCTTCCACTCCATGGCTCGCATTTTTACTTTGTCGTCTTTTTCCCAACAGTTTTAAAGTGTAGCGTGGTCGAATGCTCCCTCTTTAGTGGCTTGTGACTTTCGTGACTCGGTTGAGAAGCCCTTTTCTACCCCGCGGTCACAGCTATTCGCCAGTTTTCCTTCCAAGCATTTTCGGGTCTAGCTTTCCACGTCGGAGCTGTTTAATCTCCCTGCTGTTTTGTTTGGAGCGTGACGCAGGCACCTAATGTCCCCACGTGGAGGAAAGCACCCACCCGGAGCACTCACGGCGGGACAGTCCTCCTTCCTTGCAGACGTGGAACACCCGCCCGCTTCAGAACATCACCGTGAGCGCATGGGCTGTTCCAGCCATCCACTTGCCTGTCCCTGCACCAACGCCACGCTGTCTCAGAGGCAGGAGGCCCGGAGAGACGGCCTCCCACATGATTCTTCCCTGAAACTTGCTTGGCTTTTCGGCCGTCCACGCGGACTTTTGGACCAGCCCACCAAATCCCACGAAAAGCTCAGCTGGGATTGTGAAAGGCTGTTTGCAGAGTCAACCTCCGTTTTCCCTTTCTTTTGTGGGCCTCGTTTTTCCAAACTGAAGCCTTTCCGTTGACGAACGCGACATGCCTCTCCAGTCAGTCAAGGCCTCTTGCATGCCCTTTGCAGCGTTCTCTTCGCAGCCCGGACACCTTCCATCTGCTGTGGCCTACATGGGTATCTTCGCAGGTTTCGAAGCTGTTAATGAGGTATTTTTCTGTCCCATTTCCACTTGGTTTCTACTGGGGTGAACGTACGCTATCACTGCCTTTCCCTCATCAGTCTCGTAGCCAACACAGTATTACCAAACCCTCGCATGACTTCTAAGAATAAAGTCACAATTTCTTTTGGTTTTTACACCTTCTCTTTATTTATTTATTTATTTATTATTTTTTTTCTTGAGTCAGAGTCTTACTCCGTCACCCAGGCTGGAGTGCACTGGTGCAATGTCTCGGCTCACTGCAACCTCTGCCTCCCGGGTTCAGGCAATTCTCCTGCCTCAGCCTCCCGAGTAGCTGGGATTACAGGCGCCCGCCACCATCCCTGGGTCATTTTTGTATTTGTAGTAGAGACAGGGTTTCACCATGTTGCCCAGGCTGGTCTGGAACCCCTGACCTCAGGTGATCTGCCCCCCTCGGCCTCCCACAGGGCTGGGGTTACAGGCGTGAGCCACCGCGCCGGGCCAGATAGCTTTTACATGTTGATAATCATATTCTATTAAATAAGGGCCGGTGCCGTGGCTTACGTCGGTAATCCCAGCGCTTTGAGAGGCCGAGGCAGGCAGATCACTTGAACCCAGGGGTTCAAGGCCGGTCTGGGCAACACGGCAAAACGCTGTCTTTACAAAAAAGCAGATACAAATGAAACAAATGAGCAGAGCTTTGCCTCCTCCCAGTGCTGGGTTCGTTTCTTCTTGCTCTTGTCTTGTGGCCTTGGTGAAGCCTCCAGTGCCCTGTGGAGGGAAGGCACGCCGTGGCCACCATCTCCCGTGTGCCCGGCTTCTGTGGGAGGGAGTCCCACGTCCCACCAAGGGCTCCGACGTGTGCTGTTTTCCTAAGCAGGTTGAGACTGCTCCCTTCCAGCCTGGGCTTGCTTTTCTGACAGCAGCAAGTCCAGTCCCGCTGTTGACTTCCCACAGACACCTGTCTGCCCCCGCCCCCGGGTCCTTTGGTTTTTAAATCCTCCGCACGTGTCTGGCACCCTCTCCTGCTTGGTGGTGGTACTGCAGCCCCAGGGGCCTGGTGTCTGAGCAGAGCCAGAATCCCAGGGGTCTTGGACACGGGAAGACCCTCGGGCCCCTGTCTCCACGCCGTGACCACAGAGGCTATAGCTGCTCCCACAGCCTAGGCCCTGGAGTGAGTGGATGAGGAGTAGTGCACCAGCCACGCTGCCATGGACAGAGCGTGAGCCAGACAGAACCCTGCTGCTGTGAGCCACCAAGACTCGGGGTTGCGGGCACCATGGCTCCCTCCAGTAACCCCAGCACTTCGGGAGGCCGAGGCGGGCAGATCCCCTGAGGTCAGGAGTTCAAGACCAGCCTGGGCAACATGCTGAAACCCTGTCTCTACTAAAAATACAAAAATTAGCTGGGCGTGGTGGTGGGTGTCTGTAATCCCAGCTACTCCGGAGGCTGAGGCAGGAGAATCGCTTGAATCCAGGAGGCGGAGGTTGCGGTGGGCCGAGGTCGCACCACTGCACTCCAGCCTGGGTGACACAGCAAGAATCTGTCTCAAAAAAAAGAAAGAAAGAAAAAGGGTCTTTGCCGATGTGATTAATTTAATCTCATCACCTCTTGATGAGCTCACCCTGGACTATCAATCAGGTGGGCCCTAAATCCAACCACCGGCGTCCTTAGAAGAGACACAGAGGAGAAATGTCCAGGAGAAGCCCCCATGGCTGGGTGTGGGGGAAGGCGTGGGCAACGCAGCCACAAGCCAAGGAACACCCGGAGCCACCTGCAGCTGGAAGGGCCACGTGCGTCCCACGGAGCCTGAACCACGTCCTCTCCGAGGCTGAGCGGCGCCCTCCCGGAGCCTGAGCCACGAGTGGTTCCACCAGGCCTTCCCCTCAGACCCGACCCCCGAACTGCAGGAAAGGGCTTTCCTGTGGCTCCCTGCCCTGGTTTGTGGTGATTTGTACCCCGGAGCACCTGACAGCAGGTGCGTGGCTTGTTTCAGCCAAGGGGACAGCAGCAAGTCTCACCTCGAGGGAAGGGAGGGGTGCGCCCTGGGGCCTTCCATCTGCTCCCAGAAACAGCGAGGCCGCCATGGGAACAGCCAGCTTCTTCTGGGGAACGGGAGAACTTGGTCCCAATCCTTCCAGCTACTCCAAGGGGGTGGGGGCTGCCCACCTGGCTGGCTGGCTCCCCATCTCCTCTGCTGTGGGCGTAGCCCCCTGTGGTGAGCCCAGGGAAGCAGGCAGCCCCTGCCCCAAGTCACCCCTAGGGAAACCCAGGAGGACCCAGCTGGGGGCATGAGCTATGTGAGGAAGAGGAGGGCACTGGGAATAAAGGCGGGGGCTGTACAGTGACGGACAGAGTTGCGGGGAGCCCCTGCATCTCCCTGCCCCTCCATTTGCACCAACCCTGCCTCCACCTGAAGGGCAGCTCCCTCCCAACCCTCAACACCTGCGCTGGGGTTCTGGACACGAGATCCTGAGTGGGCAGAAGGGGCGGGGCCTGCTCTGGGGAAGGGGTGGGGCCTGTCCTAGGAAAGGGGTGGGGCCTGCTCTGAAAAGGGGCGGGGCCTGTCCTAGGAAAGGGGTGGGGCCTGCTCTGGGGAAGGGGTGGGGCCTGTCCTAGGAAAGGGATGGGGCCTGCTCTGAAAAGGGGGCGGGGCCTGTCCTCGGAAAGGGGTGGGGCCTGCTCTGGGGAAGGGGTGGGGCCTGTCCTAGGAAAGGGGTGGAGCCTGCTCCGGGGAAAGGGTGGGGTCTGTCCTAGGAAAGGGGTGGAGCCTGCTCTGGGAAAGGGGCGGGACCTGTCCTAGGAAAGGAGTGGTGCCTGCCCTAGGAAAGGGGTGTGGCCTGCTCTGAAAAGGGGGCAGGGCCTGTCCTCGGAAAGGGGTGGGGCCTGCTCTGGGGAAGGGGTGGGGCCTGTCCTAGGAAAGGGGTGGAGCCTGCTCCGGGGAAAGGGTGGGGTCTGTCCTAGGAAAGGGGTGGAGCCTGCTCTGGGAAAGGGGCGGGACCTGTCCTAGGAAAGGAGTGGTGCCTGCCCTAGGAAAGGGGTGTGGCCTGCTCTGAAAAGGGGGCGGGGCCTGTCCTAGGAAAGGGGTGGGGCCTGCTCGGGAAGGGGCGGGGCCTGCTCTGGGTAAGGGGCGGGTCCTGTCCTACGAAAGGGGTGGGGCGGGCTCTGGGGAAGGGGCGGGGCCTGTCCTAGGAAAGAGGTGGGGCTTGCTCTGGGGAGGGGGCGGGGCCTGTCCTAGGAAAGGGGTGGGGCCTGCTCGGGAAGGGGCGGGGCCTGTCCTAGGAAAGGGGTGGGGTCTGCTCTGGGGAGGGGGAGGGGCCTGTCCTAGGAAAGGGGTGGGGCCTGTCCTAGGAAAGGGATGGGGCTTGCTCTGGGGAAGGGGTGGGGCCTGCTCTGGGGAAGGGTTGGATATCAGGGCTCATGCTCTCCTGAGCTCCCCAGGTAGCCTCTGCTTTAAAGGACACAGCAGGGAAGAGCAGGCAGGGGCCCAGCTGTACCCGTGTCCACACTGCATCACTGGGGGAGCCCTGTCTTCACAGCTGCAAGCTGGGAGACAGATGAGGAAGCCTGACCACCTCTTCCTTACCAGGCCTCTGGCCACAGTGCCCCCACCCCGCCCTGTCCATTTCCTGGCCTGTGCTGGGGCTGCTGGGCTCCACCCAGAAGGCCAGGGGCTCAGCTCTCCCACGCACGTGGGCATGGTGCCCAGGGTGCACACCCAGTGCCCGCTGTCCAGCTGAGTCCACGGAGCCAACCAGAACTTCTGTAAATTGGTTTGGAGGTGTTGGTGGCTCTGCCCAGCAGCTCCTGGAATTCCTGGCAGAGCCACCAGGTCCTGGCTGCCTTTTGTCACATTGTAGCAGGAGCTGACAGTGACCCAAGGACTAAGACCTTCTCCCTTTTCCCATTGCGGAGACGAAGGGCGGGGTGTACTTCACACACACGACACATGCAGACACACGTGCACACAAACGCTCACACGTGTGCACACACACAAACACACACACACACACACCCTTTCCCCAGGGGCCTCCTGAGCCTTGGGGCTACAGAAAGGCCCCAGCAACCATGGAAAACCTGAGAAACGGCTGTGAAGAAACCCAGGGCTCTTTTCACAGACTCCAGGCCGGGAGGGTCCCTAGAAGGGAACTGACTCCGTCTGCATGGCCTGCCGTCCCTTCTCTGCCCACCACTGCACAGCGGCCAGGCCACACCCCTGCAGGGCAGGAGTCTGCTGAGTTTATTACTGGAAAGCAAAGACTGAACAAAGGCTCACACAATAAGTATCTGGAGTGAGGGTATTTATTGCTTAGGAGGCCTCTGGGGGAGGCAGAGCTGTGTAGACGGGGTCAGTCCCCCGAGGGCAGCGGAGCCGGGCTGTGCCCACACGGCTCACGCATTCCCCAGACGCCTGGGGGAGCGCCGGGCCCGGCGGGAGGTGCTGGCGGGGAGCCCGCAGACAGTGTCCTGGCACTGGCAGCTCTCGATGTGGGTGTAGGTGTGCGTCAGCGAGCCCCCATTGGGGCAGTTCAGGACCACCTCCCGCTGGCTGGTCTTCTCCTCTTTGCAGCAGGAGCACCTGTGGTCCAGGGCCTGGGCCTCGGCGGAGTACCTGGGGGGAGGGTGGAGTGAGGGGTGACCTCCTGGGACAGCGCTGCCCTCCCGCCCCTCTGGAGCCTGCACCGTCCCCACCAGACACACTCCCCTCTGGTGACTCACATGACGAATGTCCCGCAGGACCCGGAGCAGTGATTCATGATGACAGTCTTGGTGCAGCCGGCATGTGAAATCTCCCTGGTGACGGGGACGGTGGAGCAGGGCACCCTGGTCTCATTTCGAGGGATGCCTGGGGAGAGGGGGTAGTGGCTCGGGGCAGGGTCCCCACATCCTTGAGGGCCAGAGTGGCTCCCCCTCACCGTGGCCCCTCCCCAGGCCTGGCCTCAGCCCCCGGCCCTCACACCCACCCGGAGGCCATGGTCCAGCCACCCCTGAGCATGCAGGGCTGAGGGCTCCAGCCCTTGTGCCCACACCTCGCCCACCCCCTGGCCATGCCCTGTACTCACAAGTCTTGCAGCATCCATTGGGCATGAATGTGATGGAGCCCTGGAGGGAACAGAGAATGAGCCTGGGACACCCAGACATCCCTGGAGGTGAAAGCCCCTTCCTGCCGTGCGGTGGGCAGGGGAGCTGCTGCGGAAAGCCCTGGGCAAAGCCTCCCGCGGCCGCACAGACCAGGCTCGAGGCCACTGCCACAGTAACCCCAGGCACCCTCACTCCCAGCAGAGTGCACACAGCCAGGCCCCCGCGGCCCACTCACCGGGACACAAATGGTGGGGTCGAAGTCGGGGCAGGTGATGTTGGAGACGGACGAGATGAGCTGGTTGTGGATCTTCACGCAGCTGAAGAACGTGCAGTTGTTCTTGGGGTCGCTCTTGAAGTCCCCAGGCTGCGGGGCAGGGGGTTCCGGTGAGGGAGAGCGGCAGGCCCAGCCCCAGCCCGGCCAGGAAGACACCCTGGACACACTTGGCCGGTGAGGCTTCCCGGCGGGGCCAGGGCCACAGGACAAGTGACACGGGCGGGACCCACGTCAGGCACCAGCCTGGAGCCCACACAACCCTCAAAGGCCTGTTGCAAATCTCTGAACCTGTGAATGTGACCTGCCTCCGAAAAGGGCTCTTTGAAGGTGTGATTAAGGGAAGGATCCTAGGATGACATCATCCTGTGTGGGGGAGGGGAGGGGACGGGGCCTTGAAGGGTCCTAGGATGACATCATCCTGCATGGGGGAGGGTACTAAATCCTTAAAAGGGAGAGGAGAGACAGACACAGGGAAGGAGACCACATGGGCACAGCCAGGGGACACCAGCAGTGACCAGGGGCTGGGGAGGGTCCTTGCCTGCAGCCTCCGAGGGAGCGCAGCCCTGAGGCCCTTTGCTCTTGGATGTCTGGGCTCCAGACCCAGGAGAATCCCTTTCTGCCCTACGATGCCTGCTCATGTGTCACGGCAGCCCAGGACACCCGTCACCGCTGCACCCGGGACCGGGAGGACTCAGGCAACCCCGCGGCCTCGGGGCGGTGGCACCCACCTTCAGGATGATGTGCTGGTTGTCGGGGCGCTTGATGATGCAGTGTGTCTGCTCACACTTCTTACAGCACTCCCCGGGGGCCTCCACCAGCTCGAAGCCCTGCGGACAGACACACCGCCGCCGCTGAGCCCCCGGGCTGCGCCCCACACCACACAAACCTGCGGGGCTGCCGAGACCCCCACTCGGAGGAGGCCCCAGACTGGGCAGGTGTCAGCACGGAGAGGTGGGGACAGCGGCGGGTGAGCGTCGAGGTGCCACCATGCAGACATGGGCCCCGGGGCTTGTGTGACAGGAGGGAGGGGCGGGAGCCGGGGCTGGGGCTGCGGGGGGGCCGGGGCTGGGGCAGGGGCTGGGGCAGGGGCTGGGGTTGGGCGGCCACTTACAGGGCTGCAGGAGTTGTTGCAGGGCACGTGGGTGCAGGCGATGGTGTTGAGTAGGGTGCTGTTGTCCACCTCGTGGGTGCAGACACAGTCCTGGCACTTTGAGGAATACACTGGAGAACCAGGCTTTGGGGATAGGGAGAGACGTGAGGCAGGGGCCTCCCCAGCTGGCCGAGAACCTGCCAGGACCCCCATGACACAGCCCAACCTCCCCTCTTCGCCCCCACCCAGCCCAGGGCTCACCTGGTACTCAGCATTCTCGTGAACACACACCCCCTTGGACTCTGGGGAGAAAGAACGGAGAAGGCTGTTGGTTAGCGACTGCCCTGGAGTGGCCATCTGGCCGGACCCCCATTCCTGGTGCCCGCCCCCCCGGGGAGTGGGGCGTGCGTTCGGGGCTGGGGTGGTGCGTCAGCCAATCGTGCAGCCATGTGTGTCCCCAGAATCCGAGGCCCCCAGGAGGGTGTCCTTCCCCACACACACCATCCTGGCCATGGCCTCCTTCCTGCCCGCCCAGCAGCCCTGCTTACCACACCAGTAGAAGGGGCAGCACCTCCCCGGCACCATCTTGCTCCTCAGTTCAAATCCCAGTGGACACAGCGGGGGCTCCTCTTTGCACAGGCTGGTGTTGCACTCTGAAGACAGGGTGGGCACACCCCATGAGGGTGGCTCCTCACAGGCAAAGCCCCCAGGGCCGCTGCACCTCCAAGGGTCCCCTCCCCACCCAGGCCCGGCCCTGCAGCAGGGATGCCTGGACCCAGCCCAGCGGCCCCTCCCAAGCCCTCTCAAGGGGAACATCAGAGGCTCCCACACTGGCTGTTTCCTCACTTGCCAAGGAGGGGACAGCATGCAGCACCCCCATACGGGGATGTGCACCAGGGCCCGGGCCCGGACTTACTGCAGACGCTGATGTTACAGCAGGTGTCGTCAGGGTCGACCTCTGTGACCAGATAGGTGCCATCCTCCACACAGTGGGTAACAGGCTTCTGGCTGCACCTCTTGGGCTGGCAGATGATGCCACTTCCACCCTCCAGGCAGATACAGTCCTTGCAGTCGAACTCAAAGTGCTCCCCAAACTGCAGGGAAGAAGAAGGAGGGGTGAGGAGAGAAGAGGAGGTGCCAGGCAGGGAAGGAGGAGTGAGGAGAGAAGAGGAGGTGCCGGGTGGAGAAGGAGGGGTGAGGAGAGAAGAGGAGGTGCCAGGCAGGGAAGGAGGGGTGAGGAGAGAAGAGGAGGTGCCAGGCAGGGAAGGAGGGGTGAGGAGAGAGTAGAGGAGGTGCCGGGCAGGGAAGGAGGGGTGAGGAGAGAAGAGGAGGTGCCAGGCAGGGAAGGAGGGGTGAGGAGAGAGTAGAGGAGGTGCCGGGTGGAGAAGGAGGGGTGAGGAGAGAAGAGGAGGTGCCGGGCAGGGAAGGAGGGGTGAGGAGAGAAGAGGAGGTGCCGGGCAGGGAAGGAGGGGTGAGGAGAGACGAGGAGGTGCCGCGCAGGCCCAGGGCTGCATCTGTGGGTGGAAACAGCCGCCCTGGGCAGCTTGCTGAGGGATCCTGGGGGAAAGCCATGTTCCTCCTCACTTCTGAGCAGGTTCTGGGATAGGACAGTGAGCAGGGGCTTGGCACCGGGCGGGCACTCCACTCAGGCCTCAGGCTTGTGCAGAGTTCAGCTAAGGAATCAGCCTGTGGCTGCGACCACAGGTGGGAGGACGGGCAGCCAGAGGTGGCCGAGATGCGGTGTCAGAGCTTCTAGACGGAGCATCATGTGACCCACGGTGGTGAATGGAGCGAGGGGGAATGGAGGGATGAATGGGTAGATCGTGGGTGGGTGGGAAGACGGATGAGTGGATGGTGGGTGGGTGGTGGATGGACGGGTAGGTGGATGGACGGGTGGGTGGAAGGATTGGTGGGTGGATGGGTAGATGGGTGGGTGGGTGGTGTGTGGAAGGATGAATGGGTGGGTGGAGGGATAGGTGGGCAGGTGGATGGGCAGGTAGATGGGCGGGTGGATGGGGTGGGTGGATGGGTGGTGGATGGATGGGTGGTGGATGGGTGGGTAGATGGATGGGGTGGGTGGAAGGATGGATGGGTGGTGGATGGATGGTGTGGGTGGTTGGAAGGCCGGGTGGGTAAGTAGGTGATGTTCCAGCCAACTCAGCCATCCAGGGCTTAGATGACCTCATTCCTCAATCTTTGAGGCTCCAGGGTTTCCTGTCCATCCCCCTCACTCCCCAGAATTCAGAATTTGTGGGAGAATCCCTCAGCACCAAGTGGGGCCTACCTCTCTGGGCACGTTGTCGGGTCCCACACAGCCTAGGAAGAGGGAAGAACAAGTCCTGTTAGCAGAGTCCTGGTGCAGCAGGAGCGGGGCTGGGGGGTCAGGAGGCGGGAGGGGCAGCGTGAGCAATGGCCTACCGCAGGTCTTCACGCAGACGTCATAGCCAGGAGCGTAGTTCATGGTGCCTTCAGGACAGAAGCAGCCTTCCACTGGGACTGTGTTGTTCTGCTGGGAGGAGCTGGGGAGGGAGGGCACCATCAGACGGGTGCAGACGAGAGGCTGGGGGTAGGGCACCGTCGGACGGGTGCAAGTGGGGAACTGGGGGGAGGGCACCGTCGGGCGGGTGCAGGTGGGGAGCTGGGGGGAGGGCACTGTCGGATGGGTGCAGGTGGGGCCAGGAGCCGGCAGGTGGGACTGCTCTGCCCAGATGGTGCCACCCTCCGCACTATGGTGGCGAGCCCACAGTCCTGGCGGACCCTCAAGCAACATACCTGGACTTGCAGGTAGGCTCTTCTGCAGGGCCACAGGCCTGGTACTCCCTGTGAGATGGGCACTCCACCACTGCAGGACAGGGCCAGGGTCAGAGGGCTGCCCCACGCACGTCAGGGGAGAAGCCTGGACCCCCCGAGTGACAGAGCCGCCCAGCACGCCACACACGGCAGACGGTGGCCAGCTGCCTGGGGAGTCAGCCTCCACCCTCATGGTTGCCCTGAGCGGGGTGGTGGGTTCCCAACTGCGTCTAGTGACATTGGCAGAACCCCCAGCACCTTAGCCCCTCTAGCCTGGCCTTCTCCACTCCACGGCCCCAGCCCTGGTCTCACACCCACCATCTCTGGGAGCCTGGCCACGGCCCACCCGGGTCTAGCTTCAGGCTGGACAGAGCACGCAGCACAGCCTAGCGGGCATGTCTGGCCGGCAGGCCCCCAGATCCAGGGCAGGGGCAGACGGGCACTTACGGCAGGCCCCGTGCGTGTGGTTCCGCCAGTCGAGGCACACGCCCTCCTGGGCGCAGAGGGCTGCGTAGGCCTGCAGACTGGCGCACTCCAGGCGCGAGCCGGGCACGAAGCAGCTGTCGAACACGCAGGCTTCGTAGTAGTGCTGGGGCGGCACCAGCGCGTGGCACTTGGAAAACAGGCTGCGCAGGGAGGGGCAGGGTCACACTCAGGAGGCGCCCGCCTCTCCCCTTCCCTACCCTGGCACCTCCGCCTAGCCCGTCCTCCTGGAGTCCGGCACCCGCCAGAGAGGCACCCGTGGCTGATGGAGGCCCGAGGGACAGCCCAGCTGGGGGACAGGCTGGGGACAGAACAAGGGATGGGTGAGGGAGGCGGCTCTGGAGCCCGGTTCCCGGGACAGAAGCCACACTTCTGCGTGGCCATTAGCTCCAGCAACCCTGGCAGACAGACACCCAGCCTGTCCACAGCCCCACATTTCCAGGGACGGGGTGCTGACTCCCCATGGCTGCTCTGTCAAAGCTCAAACCTGCCTGCCCAGTGTCAGCCCTGAGCTCTGTCCTGGGTTGACTGGTCTGCTCTGGGCCTCGCACCCGGCCAGCCCTGCACCTTCCCAGGAGACCGGGGAGACCGTGGAGCTCAATAAAGGCACAGGCACGTCGGACGGGGCAGCTCAACCCCATGGACCCTGTGCTGACCTAGCGCCTGACCCTGGTTCCACGGCCTCCTGGCTCCCCAGCCCCACACAGGCGTCACGTGCTGCCTCCTCCCTCTTTGCAAGAGCTGGGGGCCGGGGCTCAGAGAGGCAGGCAGGCCGGGCAGGGTCACCTGTCCTTGATGAGCTGGCAGAGGGGAGAGGGGGTGCAGTCCTTGCGTGGGGTCGTCTTGCTGCCCCCGGGCACCGTGACGGCCGGGCGCTTGGTCGTGGAGATGCTGTGGGGACAGTGTGGCTTGGAGGGGTCATTCACCACCCACTGGTCGGCCGCGGCCTCGCAGTTGGAGACGATCTCCCCGCTGGGCAGAATGCAGTCATCAGACGTGGTGTTGGTGCAGGTGCCTGCGTTGGCGAGAGAGGCCACGGTGCAGACAGCATGAGCGCTGCCCTCTCCAGCCCAGATGCCCGGGACTGCCGGCCAGGGCCGAGGGCAGAGACCAGGCCGGGCCCCTCCTATGGGCTCCTCGCAGGGCCTGAACCAGGATGACGGCCACAGTGGCCCCGAGCAGAGGGGCAAGAGGCCCACAGCCAGGTCCGCCAGGCTCACACGCAGCCTCAGCCTCGGCCCGGCCCGGCTGCCCTCCCCAGGGCAGGTCATGGGGACACAGGGCACCGTGGGAGCCGTGGGGGCTCAAGGGCCTCGGAACTCACCGCACTGGCCCTTGGTGTTGTTGCCGAATTTGTGGTAGGGCAGCCTGATGGAGAAGGACAGGCCGTTGTAGGAGACGAGGGCGCCCAGCTCGGGCACGGCCACCACGTAGTTGATGCCGGACTGGTACACCTCCAGCCCATACTTCTTGTAGGGCAGCGCCACCACCTGGCCGTTCACCTGCACCTGCGGCCGACACACCGGGTGGGGGAGCGGCAGCTGCCCCGGAGGCCACCGCCCGCCCACCTGCTCTCCCGCCAGCCCCTGCGGAGTGTGCGCTGCCTACCTGCCTTTCCCGCTCCCTTTCTCGCTTCTGTTCCTCTGCGCCTGACCAGACCCTGGTCCCAGGGGTGAGCCAGCGAAGCTCTCCCGGGAACCCCCCAGGACTGTGGGGCCCCTCGCGGGGGGCCAGGCGCCCTGGGCCTCCTGAGCCTCAGAACCAACGATTCCCTTGCAAGTAGGGGCAGCTCAGCCAAGCGCGTGCAGAGCCCCGCCCCCGACTCTGTCCTCAGGAGGCAGCATCTGCTGCAGAGACTGTGCCCAGCACGGCAGGCGTGCCAGGGATCGGGGGCCCCTCCAGGATGCCCCTGGAGGACTGTGGGAAGAGCTGCCGCCTCCGAGAGCCAGGCGCCCAGCTTGCCCCACCCTCCAGCCTGGGTCTGGGAGAGGCTGTGCCTGGCACCCCGCAGCACAGTCCTCCAGCCCCCTGGGGAACCGGGGCGCGTCGGGGCCTCCGTGCCAGCCTCCTGCGGCCGCGCTGCGCCTACCTGCACCCGCATGGGCATCATGTGCACGGTCTTGACGAGCACCTCCTGGGTCTCGTGGCGCACGATGAGGGTGCGGGGGCAGGACACCCTGTCGTTGACGTCACAGTGGTAGTTGTCGATGTAGACGCCGAAGTTGTCTACGGTGGGGCTGATCTCCTCCACCAGCACGTAGGTGCAGTTGCCCTGGTAGCTGTAGTACAGCCCGTCGAAGGTGACGTAGTGCGGGTCCCCCCAGCCCGTGCAGTAGCCTGCGAGGGAGCCCGAGTGAGCACGCCGCCGGTGCCCCCCGGCCGGAGTCGGCTGCAAGGCCTGGGCCGGGGCACGGTCAGGAAGAGGCCGCAGGAAGCTGAGGCCTGAACACCCACTCCGGAGCGGGGGCCTGGGGACGTAAGAGCTGCAGTGGCCCCAGAACACCCACAGCGGCCAGACCGGGCTTCAAACCCCAGCTCAGCCCCGTCTTGCCTCAGAAGCACCCTTGTTCCAGGGAGGGGCCCTAACTCCACCAGGCAAGCCCTCTGCCTGCCCAGGCCCCCAACCCCTCACAAAGGGGCAAAAGCAGGACTGTGGGAAGCCCCTCAGACGGCACCCGGCCTCAGTGAACACAGCAGTGGGGTCCGTCCCCACAGAGCCGCAGCCCTTCTGTTCCCCGGAGACGGGCCCTGCAGCCCCCCCACACACACACAGAGAGGGCAGGAGACTCAGGGAGGGGAGGAGATGCAGCCTCAGAGGGCAGGAGACGGGGGGGATGGGGGGACGGGGGAATGGGGGAGGGCAGGAGAGGGGGGAGGGCCCGGGGGCCCCGGACTCACAGTCGCACTCCCAGTGCCAGCAGCAGCGGTCGTCGTCCACGACGCGCACGGGCGTGAGGCCGTTGGAGCAGGTGGGCACGGGCGGCGGCTCGCACTTCACCTCCGTGACCTCCACCGTGTTGTTGTGCTTGCACGTGGCCATGAGGCAGTCACACAGCCACCAAGTCTCATTCTCCTGCAGGCGGGAGGTCAGGGACGGTCAGCGGGATGGGCACAGGATGGAGGATCTGCGCTTGGCAGGGGCGGGCACTGAGCTGGGAGGCTGGAGACCGAGGTGGCTTCCACGGGTCTCACCGCAGCCAGCCACCTCGCCGGGCACGGTGAGAAGGTGGAGGGTGGACCCCGCTCCCAAGGGGCTGCAGGAGGCCTTGGCCCTCAGACAACCAGCAGGAAGTGGTGCCTGGGGCCTCGGATGCCCAGACCTGCTGCGCTCAGCACATGGGGACAGAGCGGCCTGCAGCCACTCACCTGCCTGGGGGGATCAAAGTCTGGGCACTCGGGGGGCTTGGTGCTGGGCGTCTGCTTGGAGGGCGTGGGCGTGGGCTTGGACGGCGTGGGCGTCGGCTTGGAGGGCATGGGCGTGGGCTTGGAGGGCGTGGGCGTTGGGGAGGGCGTGGACGGGCAGGACCAGTTATAGATCTCCAAGGTGCAGTCCAGCGAGCAGTTCACGAAATAGCAAGTGTCCCCGAGCGTGCCGTTGTACACCTCCTCACCTGCAAGGGGACAGACCCATGCTCACGCATCCAGAGGCAGGGCTGGCCACTGACCATGTGGCAGGTTCCCACAGAGGCCACCCAAGGGAAGCCAGGCCCTGGACACAGCCACCGTCAACCGCGACTGCCTCCTGAGATGCCCCCACTGTGACCTCAGCCCTGGCGCCTGACCCCTCGGTACGTGCCGGGACCAAAACCAGCCTCGGCCGCCCAAGTGCAGGGTGTGAAGCCCGAGTACCTGGTGCGTAGTAGGTGTCGTTCAGGACACAGCACGGAACGAGGGTGCCGGGAACCATGGTTGTGGTCGTGATGATGCTGGATGTGGAGACCGTGGTGGGCGTGGGGGTCCTGGTGCTGGTGGTCGTCCGTGCAGTGCTGGGGGTGGTGGGTGAAGGTGACCCAGTTGTGGTGGCTCGTGTGGGGGTGCCTGTGAGAGTGGGGGCCACGAGTGAGGGCTGAGGCGCTGCGCATCACAGACACCGACGCAGGGTCCCCACCGCCACTCCCCAGCTGCAAGGGACACAGACAGTCGAGCAGGTGGCGGTACCGGAGGGCCAGGGCCTCCCGCCCACCTCCCAGGCCCTCGGAGTCACTGGGGACGTGGACTGCCAAGGCCGGTGACACCACACCCGAGCGTCTTGGGAGCCCGCAGATGACCCGGCGCTCCAGCAGCACCATGGCTTTCTGGACACGCCGACTGACAGCAAGAGGCATCCAGAAGGCACTGGCTGTGGGACGCCGTCCACCGGGGAGGGGCCCCGAGGCCTGAGGAGGGCATGCAGCCAGAAGCAGGGGGACCTGCAGGCCCTCACTGGCAGCCTCTCTCCGCTCCTGCAGCTTAGTGGGCTCCCACAGTGCCACGTCACACAGCAGGGCCCCTGAAGAAGGCTGTCCCACAAGAGAGCAGGCCGGCTTTGGCTGGCTCGTGTCAGCGGCTCTTGCCACACAGTAACTGGACTTGGTGAGCAGGGAGGCACCCAGAGCCTGCCTGGAGCCTTCCTGGGACGGTCCCACCTGGCACATGGGAGGAGGAAGCGCTGCAAGCAGAAGGAACCCAGCGGCTCTACTTACCTGGAGGGACCACGGTGGTGCCGGGCGGTGGGGATGGCGTGTGGCCTCCCATCGTGGTGGCCGTGGGTGTCGTGGGTGTGGAGGGTGGGGCTGTGCTGGTCATCTTCGTGGCAGGCGGTGGGGTACTCAGAAGGGTGGTTGACCCCATGGGAGGGGAGGAGGTGGACTGAGAGGTCTGAGGAGCTGAGGACTCAGGTGGGGGTTTGGATGTGGTTGACTGAGCAATGGGGGTTGTGCTGGTGGGGATGGGGGGCACTGTGCTTAAAGTGGTGGGTGTTGGGGTTGGAGTCACTGTTGCAGTGCTGGTGGTAGGTGTTGTGGTTGTGGTCTCTGTAGTGGTTGGAGGGCTGCGAGTGGTGGTTGTGGTGGTTGATGGAGGGCTGGGGGTTGGAGGGCTGGGAGTGGTGGTTGGTAGAGCAGTGGTGGTGGTGGTTGATGGAGGGGTGGTCGTGGTGGTTGTGGTGGTTGGTGGAGTGGTGGTTGTGGTGGTTGGTGGAGTGCTGGGGGTTGGAGGGCTGGGAGTGCTGGGAGTGGTGGTTGGTGGAGTGGTGGTCGTGGTGGTTGATGGAGGGCTGGGAGTGGCGGTTGTGGTGGTTGGTGGAGTGATGGTTGTGGTGGTTGGTGGAGTGCTGGGGGTTGGAGGGCTGGGAGTGGTGGTTGGTAGAGCAGTGGTGGTGGTGGTTGATGGAGTACTGGGAGTGGTGGTTGTGGTGGTTGGTGGAGTGGTGGTCGTGGTGGTTGATGGAGTGCTGGGAGTGGTGGTTGGTGGAGTGGTGGTCATGGTGGTTGATGGAGGGCTGGGAGTGGCGGTTGTGGTGGTTGGTGGAGTGATGGTTGTGGTGGTTGGTGGAGTGCTGGAGGTTGGAGGGCTGGGAGTGGTGGTTGGTGGAGTGGTGGTCGTGGTGGTTGATGGAGGGCTGGAAGTGGCAGTTGTGGTGGTTGGTGGAGTGATGGTTGTGGTGGTTGGTGGAGTGCTGGGGGTTGGAGGGCTGGGAGTGGTGGTTGGTAGAGCAGTGGTGGTGGTAGTTGATGGAGTTCTGGGAGTGGTGGTTGGTGGAGTGCTGGGAGTAGTGGTTGTGGTGGTTGGTGGAGTGGTGGTCGTGGTGGTTGATGGAGTGCTGGGAGTGGTGGTTGGTGGAGTGGTGGTCATGGTGGTTGATGGAGGGCTGGGAGTGGCGGTTGTGGTGGTTGGTGGAGTGATGGTTGTGGTGGTTGGTGGAGTGCTAGGGGTTGGAGGGCTCAGAGTGGTGGTTGTGGTGGTTGGTGGAGTGGTGGTCGTGGTGGTTGATGGAGGGCTGGGAGTGGCAGTTGTGGTGGTTGGTGGAGTGATGGTTGTGGTGGTTGGTGGAGTGCTGGGGGTTGGAGGGCTGGGAGTGGTGGTTGGTAGAGCAGTGGTGGTGGTGGTTGATGGAGTGCTGGGAGTGGTGGTTGTGGTGGTTGGTGGAGTGGTGGTCATGGTGGTTGATGGAGTGCTGGGAGTGGTGGTTGGTGGAGTGGTGGTCGTGGTGGTTGATGGAGGGCTGGGAGTGGCAGTTGTGGTGGTTGGTGGAGTGATGGTTGTGGTGGTTGGTGGAGTGCTGGGAGTGGTGGTTGTGGTGGTTGGTGGAGTGGTGGTCGTGGTTGTTGATGGAGTGGTGGTCGTGGTGGTTGATAGAGTGCTGGGAGTGGTGGTTGGTGGAGTGGTGATCGTGGTGGTTGATGGAGGGCTGGGAGTGGCGGTTGGTGGAGTGGTGGTCGTGGTGGTTGATGGAGGGGTGGTTGTGGTGGTTGGTGAAGGGGTGGTTGTGGTGGTTGGTGGAGGGGTGGGAGTGGTGGTTGGTGGAGTGGTGGTTGTGGTGGTTGATGGAGGGCTGATAGTGGTGGTTGGTGGAGTGGTGGTCGTGGTGGTTGATGGAGGGGTGGTTGTGGTGGTTGGTGAAGGGGTGGTTGTGGTGGTAGGTGGAGGGCTGGGAGTGGTGGTTGAGGTGGTTGGTGGAGTGCTGGGAGTGGTGGTTGTGGCGGTTGGTGGAGTGCTGGGAGTGGTGGTTGTGGTGGTTGGTGGAGGGCTGGGAGTGGTGGTTGGTGGAGTGGTGGTTGTGGTGGTTGATGGAGTGCTGGGAGTGGTGGTTGGTGGAGGAGTGGTCGTGGTGGTTGGTGGAGGGCTGGGAGTGGTGGTTGGTGGAGTGGTGGTTGTGGTGGTTGGTGGAGTGCTGGGAGTGGTGGTTGGTGGAGGGGTGGTTGTGGTGGTTCGTGGAGTGGTGGTTGTGGTGGTTGGTGGAGTGCTGGGAGTGGTGGTTGGTGGAGTGGTGGTTGTGGTGGTTGATGGAGTGCTGGGAGTGGTGGTTGGTGGAGGTGTGGTTGTGGTGGTTGGTGGAGTGGTGGTTGTGGTGGTTGATGGAGTGCTGGGAGTGGTGGTTGGTGGAGTGGTGGTTGTGGTGGTTGATGGTGTGCTGGGAGTGGCGGTTGGTGGAAGGCTGGGAGTGGTGGTTGGTGGAGGGGTGGTTGTAGTGGTTGGTGGAGGGGTGGTTGTGGTGGTTGATGGAGTGATGGTTGTGGTGGTTGGTGGAGTGCTGGGAGTGGTGGTTGGTGGAGGGGTGGTTGTGGTGGTTGGTGGAGGGGTGGTTGTGGCGGTTGGTGGAGGGGTAGTTGTGGTGGTTGATGGAGTGGTGGTTGTGGTGGTTGATGGAGTGCTGGGAGTGGTGGTTGGTGGAGTGGTGGTTGTGGTGGTTGATGGAATGCTGGGAGTGGTGGTTGGTGGAGGGGTGGTTGTGGTGGTTGGTGGAGGGGTGGTTGTGGTGGTTGATGGAGTGCTGGGAGTGGTGGTTGGTGGAGTGGTGGTTGTAGTGGTTGGTGGAGGGGTGGGAGTGGCGGTTGGTGGAGGGGTGGTTGTGGTGGTTGATGGAGTGCTGGGAGTGGTGGTTGGTGGAGTGGTGGTTGTGGTGGTTGGTGTAGGGCTGGGAGTGGTGGTTGTGGTGGTTGGTGGAGTGGTGGTCATGGTGGTTGATGGAGTGCTGGGAGTGGTGGTTGGTGGAGTGGTGGTCGTGGTTGTTGATGGAGTGCTGGGAGTGGTGGTTGGTGGAGTGCTGGGAGTGGTGGTTGGTGGAGTGGTGATCGTGGTGGTTGATGGAGGGCTGGGAGTGGCGATTGTGGTGGTTGGTGGAGTGATGGTTGTGGTGGTTGGTGGAGTGCTGGGGGTTGGAGGACTGGGAGTGGTGGTTGGTAGAGCAGTGGTGGTGGTGGTTGATGGAGTGCTGGGAGTGGTGGTTGTGGTGGTTGTTGGAGTGGTGGTCGTGGTGGTTGATGGAGTGCTGGGAGTGGTGGTTGGTGGAGTGCTGGGAGTGGTGGTTGATGGAGGGCTGGGAGTGGCGGTTGGTGGAGGGCCAGTGGGGCCACACTCACAGCACTGAATGTTGATCTCGTAGTTGAGGCAGAAGGGCATAGGGATGTTCCCACCTGGCTTTTGGTCTTCATTTTTGCATACCAGCCCCACAGAGACATTACACAGCACTGTTTGTCCAAGCTGTCCAATGGGAACATCAGGATACATGACAGCTCTGCAAGAGATGTTAGCTGCCCAGCCTCCTCCACAGGTGTCTCCAATCAATTCCTTATCTCCACCTTGTATGGTAAAGTTAGGTTTTCCGGAATCCAGCCAGCCAGTCCAATGGCAGATAGGCACACACGGGGTTGTTGAGGATGACGAAGATGAAGTGCTGGGAGTGGTGGTTGTTGTGGTTGATGGAGTGGTGATCGTGGTGGTTGATGGAGGGCTGGGAGTGGCGGTTGGTGGAGTGGTGGTCGTGGTGGTTGATGGAGGGGTGGTTGTGGTGGTTGGTGAAGGGGTGGTTGTGGTGGTTGGTGGAGGGGTGGGAGTGGTGGTTGGTGGAGTGGTGGTTGTGGTGGTTGATGGAGGGCTGATAGTGGTGGTTGGTGGAGTGGTGGTCATGGTGGTTGATGGAGGGGTGGTTGTGGTGGTTGGTGAAGGGGTGGTTGTGGTGGTAGGTGGAGGGCTGGGAGTGGTGGTTGTGGTGGTTGGTGGAGTGCTGGGAGTGGTGGTTGTGGTGGTTGGTGGAGTGCTGGGAGTGGTGGTTGTGGCGGTTGGTGGAGTGCTGGGAGTGGTGGTTGTGGTGGTTGGTGGAGGGCTAGGAGTGGTGGTTGGTGGAGTGGTGGTTGTGGTGGTTGATGGAGTGCTGGGAGTGGTGGTTGGTGGAGGAGTGGTCGTGGTGGTTGGTGGAGGGCTGGGAGTGGTGGTTGGTGGAGTGGTGGTTGTGGTGGTTGGTGGAGTGCTGGGAGTGGTGGTTGGTGGAGGGGTGGTTGTGGTGGTTCGTGGAGTGGTGGTTGTGGTGGTTGGTGGAGTGCTGGGAGTGGTGGTTGGTGGAGTGGTGGTTGTGGTGGTTGATGGAGTGCTGGGAGTGGTGGTTGGTGGAGGTGTGGTTGTGGTGGTTGGTGGAGTGGTGGTTGTGGTGGTTGATGGAGTGCTGGAAGTGGTAGTTGGTGGAGTGGTGGTTGTGGTGGTTGATGGTGTGCTGGGAGTGGCGGTTGGTGGAAGGCTGGGAGTGGTGGTTGGTGGAGGGGTGGTTGTGGTGGTTGGTGGAGGGGTGGTTGTGGTGGTTGATGGAGTGCTGGGAGTGGTGGTTGGTGGAGGGGTAGTTGTGGTGGTTGGTGGAGTGGTGGTTGTGGTGGTTGATGGAGTGCTGGGAGTGGTGGTTGGTGGAGTGGTGGTTGTGGTGGTTGATGGAATGCTGGGAGTGGTGGTTGGTGGAGGGGTGGTTGTGGTGGTTGGTGGAGGGGTGGTTGTGGTGGTTGATGGAGTGCTGGGAGTGGTGGTTGGTGGAGTGGTGGTTGTGGTGGTTGGTGGAGGGGTGGGAGTGGCGGTTGGTGGAGGGGTGGTTGTGGTGGTTGATGGAGTGCTGGGAGTGGTGGTTGGTGGAGTGGTGGTTGTGGTGGTTGGTGTAGGGCTGGGAGTGGTGGTTGTGGTGGTTGGTGGAGTGGTGGTCATGGTGGTTGATGGAGTGCTGGGAGTGGTGTTTGGTGGAGTGGTGGTTGTGGTGGTTGATGGAGTGCTGGGGGTTGGAGGGCTGGAAGCTGTGGTTGGTGGCGTGGTAGGCGTGGTAGTTGATGGAGGGGTTGGAGTGATGGTCTTGGTGGTTGATGGAGGGCTGGGAGTGGCGGTTGGTGGAGGGCCAGTGGGGCCACACTCACAGCACTGAATGTTGATCTCGTAGTTGAGGCAGAAGGGCATAGGGATGTTCCCACCTGGCTTTTGGTCTTCATTTTTGCATACCAGCCCCACAGAGACATTACACAGCACTGTTTGTCCAAGCTGTCCAATGGGAACATCAGGATACATGACAGCTCTGCAAGAGATGTTAGCTGCCCAGCCTCCTCCACAGGTGTCTCCAATCAATTCCTTATCTCCACCTTGTATGGTAAAGTTAGGTTTTCCGGAATCCAGCCAGCCAGTCCAATGGCAGATAGGCACACACGGGGTTGTTGAGGATGACGAAGATGAAGTGCTGGGAGTGGTGGTTGTTGTGGTTGATGGAGTGGTGATCGTGGTGGTTGATGGAGGGCTGGGAGTGGCAGTTGGTGGAGTGGCGGTCGTGGTGGTTGATGGAGGGGTGGTTGTGGTGATTGGTGAAGGGGTGGTTGTGGTGGTTGGTGGAGGGGTGGGAGTGGTGGTTGGTGGAGTGGTGGTTGTGGTGGTTGATGGAGGGCTGATAGTGGTGGTTGGTGGAGTGGTGGTCGTGGTGGTTGATGGAGGGGTGGTTGTGGTGGTTGGTGAAGGGGTGGTTGTGGTGGTAGGTGGAGGGGTGGAAGTGGTGGTTGTGGTGGTTGGTGGAGTGCTGGGAGTGGTGGTTGTGGTGGTTGGTGGAGGGCTGGGAGTGGTGGTTGGTGGAGTGGCGGTTGTGGTGGTTGATGGAGTGCTGGGAGTGGTGGTTGGTGGAGTGGTGGTTGTGGTGGTTGGTGGAGTGCTGGGAGTGGTGGTTGGTGGAGTGGTGGTTGTGGTGGTTGGTGGAGGGGTGGGAGTGGCGGTTGGTGGAGGGGTGGTCGTGGTGGTTGGTGGAGGGGTGGTCGTGGTGGTTGGTGGAGGGGTGGTCGTGGTGGTTGGTGGAGGGGTGGTTGTGGTGGTTGGTGGAGGGGTGGGAGTGGTGGTTGGTGGAGGGGTGGTTGTGGTGGTTGGTGGAGGGGTGGTTGTGGTGGTTGGTGGAGGGGTGGTTGTGGTGGTTGGTGGAGTGCTGGGAGTGGTGGTTGGTGGAGGGGTGGTTGTGGTGGTTGGTGGAGGGGTGGTCGTGGTGGTTGGTGGAGTGCTGGGAGTGGTGGTTGGTGGAGGAGTGGTTGTGGTGGTTGGTGGAGGGGTGGTTGTGGTGGTTGGTGGAGTGCTGGGAGTGGTGGTTGGTGGAGGAGTGGTTGTGGTGGTTGGTGGAGGGGTGGTCGTGGTGGTTGGTGGAGGGGTGGTTGTGGTGGTTGGTGGAGGGGTGGGAGTGGTGGTTGGTGGAGGGGTGGTTGTGGTGGTTGGTGGAGGGGTGGTCATGGTGGTTGGTGGAGGGGTGGTTGTGGTGGTTGGTGGAGGGGTGGGAGTGGTGGTTGGTGGAGGGGTGGTTGTGGTGGTTGGTGGCGGGGTGGTTGTGGTGGTTGGTGGAGTGCTGGGAGTGGTGGTTGGTGGAGGGGTGGTTGTGGTGGTTGGTGGAGGGGTGGTCGTGGTGGTTGGTGGAGTGCTGGGAGTGGCGGTTGGTGGAGGGGTGATGCACTCAGGCCGGCAACAATTGACGCGTATCTCGTAGTCGTAACACAGTCCAAATTGTCCGTTTCCAAACTGGTCTTCATTCTTGCAAATGAACCCGACGGAGAGGTCGCACTGCACCTTCTGGCCCAGCTGCTCCAAGCTGAGGTGTGGCTCCTTGACGGACCTGCACTCGATGTCCTGAGGGGCACTGCAGACCCCATCAATCGTCTCTCGGTCACCACCATCGCTGCCGCTGCTGGGGTGGTCCTCGTTGATCCAGTCAGACCAGTGGCAGCACGGCTCTAGGGAAGCAAAACCCAGCTCTGGTGACTCACTCCAGGGAGAGGCACCTCCAGGAGGCCACCCGGATTCAGAGGACCCGGGGACCTCCATGCCCATCCCCCAGATGCAACCTCTTTTCCCTGTCATTGCCAAAAACCGGAGGGCAGGGCCAGAGAGCTCAGGGCTGGACACCACTTCCATCCTCACTTTGCAGCTGAAAACCTGTGCCCAGAGAGACGGGGCCACCCAGGGCTACACCTGGTGTGACGGACCCTTTCCTTGGCTATTTTTGATACTTTTTTCAAGGAATGAATAACAAGAGAACCACCCGTTCCAGTAAGGAAGTGTGCCTGAAAGAGCTTTGTCTCCGCTCTTAACCAGCAATATTGTCACCCACAGCCACTCAGGTCCTGCTTGAGTCCCTGGCCTCAGCAAACCATGAACCAAGTCCCCGAAATACACCATCTTGGGTTCATAAGCAGAGGGGTGCAGCCACACCGCCTCACATCTGGGCCTGAAGGAAGCACCCTGCAGGTGATTTTGCAAACTTCGCTCCTCCCAGCCTGTGTTCACCGTGAATATCGTTAGACCTGGGTTTGGGGATGTGGTCAGGATGCTACCATCTCAACTCACCAGGCGAGGGGAGCCAGGGTACGGCCTCCACCCCCCGTCCCCGTCCTGCCCAGTGCACAGGAATGTGACTGTCACCTTACTCTGCAGCTGCTGTGCACAGGCCAGGCCTGCCTCCAAAAGAGCTCTCTGTGCTGGAGGCTGGATGCAGGGGAAGGTGAAAGCCCAGGAAGCCCAGGGGCACCAGGGGGCCTCACCTGTGCTGGGGGTTGGGGTGGTGGTGGTGGTGGTGGTGGTGAAAGTGGTGGGGGTGGTGGGGAGGGTGACCGTGGTGAAGGTGGTCAGCGTGGACGGGCGTGGCGTAGTGGACACACAGATGTTGAAGTGCTTCTCCACCGTCCCATTGGGACCACAGATCTCCCAGTAGCAGAAGGCGCCATCCTGGGTCTCATTGAGAATCTTTCCTGGGGATGAGGGTGAGGCCAAGGGTCACCTCATCGGGAGCAGGGTCGGGGGAAAGCGGGTGTGTCCAAGCTCCCACAAGTGGCAGGCAAATGCCCCAGTGGGACTGCCTTCACCCCGGAGCCCCTCTCTGAATAAAGGGAATCCCATCGGAACAGAGAAGCTGGATCACGGGAGAGGGTGACAGAGATTCCCCACAGGGCGCTGGCACCCCAGAAGAAGAGACAAATGTGTCACAGAAGCCCCGCGGGGCTGACACATATCAGAGCTGGGTCTGAGCCAGTGGGGGGGACCCAAGGGGCAGAACCCGGGAGGAGACCGGCACCCCCCAACCCATCCAAGTTCCACAGGCTTCCTGGGGATGGGCCCGACCACCGCAGGGCTGGGGGCGAAGGGCAGCTCACCTGCCTCCGGCCTGCAGACAACTTGGGAGGAGTTCGTGCACACGCTGCAGAGCAAGCAGACGGCTGCAGGTCCACGCCACGGTGCCACGCCCACCCCGCTCAGCCCCGGTGTTCCCCCAGCGTCCCCCCATACTGTGCCAGCCCTGCTCAGACCTCTGGTATCCCCACGCAGCCAGTGCCGAGCCCAAAGCCCCTGGGCACTGCCCCAAAAGTCAGCTCCGGAAGAGCCCCTCATTGGGTCCTAACTGTGGGAACAGAGCAGGGACAAGGAGAGGGAGGAAAAACCAGACCCAGAGGATGGGACGAAAACAGAAGACCCCGCCCCAGTGAGGCAGGGACTGGTACCTCCGTGGCCTGGCTCCCGTGTGCCTGCGTGGCTGTGTGCCTGTGTGTGACTGTGTGTCTGTGTCCATGCATCTGTGACTGTGTGCCTGTGTGTGACTGTGACTGTGTGTCTGAGTGTGTGACTGTGTGACTGTGTGTCTAGGCACGTGTACACGTGTGACTGTGTGTGCATGTGTGACTGTGACTGTGTGTCTGAGCGGGTGCCTGGATATCTGTGTCTAGGCACGTGTACACGTGTGACTGTGTGTGCATGTGTGACTGTGACTGTGTGTGAGCGGGTGCCTGGATATCTGTGTCTAGGCATGTGTACACGTGTGACTGTGTGTGCATGTGTGACTGTGACTGTGTGTCTGAGCGGGTGCCTGGATATCTGTGTCTAGGCATGTGTACACCTGTGACTGTGTGTGCATGTGTGACTGTGTGACTGAGCAGGTGCCTGGGTATCTGTGTCTAGGCACGTGTACACATGTGACTGTGTGTGCATGTGTGACTGTGACTGTGTGTCTGAGCGGGTGCCTGGGTATCTGTGTCTAGGCATGTGTACACGTGTGACTATGTGTGCATCTGTGACTATGTGTGCATGTGTGACTGTGTGACTGAAGTGTGTGACTGTGTGTCTGAGTGCATGCCTGGGTATCTGTGTCTAGGCATGTGTACACGTGTGACTGTGTGTGTATGTGGTGCACTATATGACTGCCTGCATGTCCGTATCCATGCATGTGTGCATGGGTTCATACGTGACTGTGAGAGTGTGTGCATGTGTGACTGTGTGACTGTGTGTGCCTGCATGTTGGTATCTGTGCATGTGTTCATGTGTGACTGAGAGTGTATGCATGGTGTGACTGTGTGTGACCGTGTGGCTGTGTCTGCATGTGTGACTATGACTGTGTGCATGTGTGACTGTGTGTGCATGTGTGACTGTGTCTGCATGTGTGACTGTGTGTGCATGTGTGACTGTGACTGTGTGTGCATGTGTGACTGTGTGCATGGTGTGACTGTGTGTGCATGTGTGACTGTGTCACTGTGTGTGTCAGCGTCCATGCATGTGTGAATTGGGTGTGTGTGTGCCTGTGTGCACATGGTATGCCATGTGCATTTGTGAGCATGTGCACCCATGTGGAATGGTTGTGTGTTCACGCACTGTGTGCTCGCATGTGTGTGTGTACCCATGTGCCCATATGCGCAGCTCCCCAGACCCCCTGCCATGTGGCTTAGGTACCAGGACTTGCAGATCTCCTCAGTGGGAACCGACGCTCCAGGCGGGTAGTGCGTGTCCTCGATGTAGCAGCCACACTCATCCGCAGAGACACACTTCTTCAGGTCCTCGTCATAGATGGGCCTGTTCTTGGGGCACCGGGGGTAGCAGCCTGGTGGACACAGGGCATGGAGTTAGGACCACTGCAGTCCACCACATCCCGCCCACCGTCCCCACCCTGGCAGGCCCTTCTCTGGAGGATGCCCCTCTGGGAAGCCCAGGGATTAGAAAGGCAAGACCTGGATCTCCCCCCGCACTGTGCCCAAACGCTGCCCGCTGAGGGACCCTGCCCAGTCTCAAGAGCAGCCCTGAGTCCCAAGACCCACATTCCTCTCCCATGGCGGAATTCTCCTTCCCAAATTTCCCACCACACCCTCCTTCACGTCACTGGTTCTCAGCTCAGATGCCAGCACCCACCAGGGCCTCCGCTGACCTGTGCCTGAAATGTTCCCCAACCCGCCCTGCTCTGCATGGACCTGAGTACCTCCCACCCCGCCACTTCCGGTTTCCCTCCTGACCCTGCAGCAAGGGAGGCCTGGCTGCCCTGGGCTGAGGGTGCCCTGAGGGTCAGGCCTCCCTCCGCGTGTCCCCATAGGTCTCCAGCCAACAACAGCCAGGCCTGTCTGCCATCCCCCACCCCAGGCCCGCCCCGCTCACCCTCCAGGTAGGACACAGAGATGTTGGAGTGAATGCCGTTGATGGTCCTGCAGGTCTCGAAGCTCCGGTTCCCACACGGCTCGTAGTGCCACTCACACTCATGCGGAGGGTTGTAGTAGTCACAGAATATGGCTGGGGGGAGGCGGGGCCAGGGTCAGACGCCGGGGGTGGTGGCTCAGGCACGTGCCAGGATGAGGCGAATCTGGGGTGTGGGGCTCGGGCACAGACACATCAAGCCTGCTCTGCCATCCCAGGTCCATGGGCACCCAAAGAAGAATGCCAGGGAGGTTGGGGAAAGGGCGGTCACACACACTCATCGCCTGGATGGGCGCAGAGTGCCACCCCAGCCCACAGGGCAGCCCTCCCAGCCCCTCGCTAGCCCCAGGTCCAGTTCGGGGACTCTTACGGCACAGGTCCGGCGTCCTCCAGAACACGCAGGCCTCCGCCTTGGTACACTCCTGGGCGTAGGAGGCCACAGCGGAGCAGAAGCACTCACAGTCCCCGCCGCTGTCACAGGAGCATGAGTCGTGCACGCAGGCCTCGTAGAAGGGCGTGGGGTCCACCTGCAGAAAAGACCCTGGTGTGCCCTGGGCCTGTGCTGCCTTCATGGGGCCAGGAATTCTCAGGTGCCCTAGAGCTCAAGACACTGAAGCTGCCCCTGCTCCTGGGACAGGGCACATCACCTGGGGCCCCAGCAGGGCCAACCTCTGGGAGAGGCTCCGGAGACACCTATCCGCCGTGGCTGTGCGGACCTGTCACCCAGCGCCTCAGCGTCCTTGGCAGCAACATGGCCATCCTAGAACCCACCCTCCCCACACTCCCTGCAGCAGGGGACATGTAGGCCTAGCGTGGGGGGGGAGTGCATGTCCTTTCTCCTTCCAGGTGAGTATCTGAGCCTGGGGAGGCAGAGGGAGGCTGCGGGTCCAGCCCAGGGTCAAAGGGAAGGCTGATTACATGGTCACGTGACCTAAGGATGCGAGGCCAGAGCCAAAGCTGGAGGACAAGTAAGTGTTCCGTGGTGGTGCAGCAGGGCGACCCCTGAAGGTGCCCACTGAGCATGTGAAGTCCCCTAGCCCCAGGCGCACCTAAGACACCACCCTGCTGTGACCACGCCCTGATCAGTAATATGCTCTTCTACGCCCTAAGCACGTCCAAGGTCAGTCCACAGCGCCACTCTGCCTAGGCGGCCCCGCCCATGGCCGCACCCACAGCCACAGCCCACCTATAGTGCTGCTCTGCCTACAGTCGGCCCCGCCCACAGCCACAGCCCACCTACAGCCCTGTTCTGCCTACAGTCGGCCCCGCCCACAGCCACAGCCCACCTACAGCCCTGTTCTGCCTATAGTCGGCCCCGCCCATGTCCCCGCCCACAGCCACAGCCCACCTATGGTGCTGCTCTGCCTACAGTCGGCCCCACCCACAACCACAGCCCACCTACAGCCCTGTTCTGCCTACAGTCGGCCCCGCCCACAGCCACAGCCCACCTACAGCCCTGTTCTGCCTACAGTCGGCCCCGCCCATGGCCCCGCCCACAGCCACAGCCACCTATAGACCTGCTCTGCCTATAGTTGGCCCCACCCATGTCCCCACACTCACAGCCACAACCCACCTACCACCCTGCTCTGCCCACAGTCGGCCCTGCCCACAGCCACAGCCCACCTATGGTGCTGCTCTGCCTATACGCGGCCCTGCCCATGGCCCCGCCCACAGCCAAGGCCCACCTATAGTGCTGCTCTGCCTATAGTCGGCCCCGCCCATGGCCCTGCCCACAGCCACAGCCCACCTATGGTGCTGCTCTGCCTACAGTCGGCCCCTCCCATGGCCCCGCCCACAGCCGCAGCCCACCTATGGTGCTGCTCTGCCTACAGTCGGCCCCGCCCACAGCCACAGCCCACCTGCAGCCCTGCTCTGCCTACAATCGTCCCCTCCCATGGCCTCGCCCACAGCCGCCGCCCTTCCCTGCCCGCTCTGCCCCTCCATGGCCGGCCCCCCACCTTGCTGTGGCAGATGCTGAACACGCTGCTTTTGAGGATGCTGCACTGCTTCTCCGCCCAGGAGCGGCGGTGCGGGTTCAGGCTGCAGGGCTCGGGGTTGGCGCTCACGTCCGGGCAGGTGGGGGCCTCCTTCCAGCTGTTCCCGAAGTCTAGCTCGCTGCTCACCACCATGTGGTCCCGCGTGGTGAAGTCGTTGTTGGATCGGTCATCGAAGTTCCCACACAGGCCACACACAGTGCCCTGCAGGAGACAAGCGTCCCGGAGACTCCAAAAAGGGGCTGGAGGGAGGGCAGGGGCTCGTCCTGCAAACACTGGGGTAGGGGATGTGGGGTGGGAGGCCAGGGCAGGCAGGGAGGCAGCCCACCTTGTAGGAGGGAGCCAGCTTGATGAACACGGTGGTCCTCTTGTCCCAGATGACGATGATGCCCGTGCTGGACTCCACCACCAGGTACTGGCCCACCTCCCGCGTGGTGTAGGCCACGTGGTGACCCTCATCCCGCTGGATCACCACTCGATGCTTGTCTTCCAACTTCAGCTCCGTCCTCTGCCCGGAGGAGAGCCCCAGTCACTGGCTGGTCTGAGGGTCCCCCAGGGCTCACATGTTTCCGGGGCTGGCAGCACTCACCCCCATGAAGATTTTGATGGCCTTGGAGCAGGTGACTCCCGTGGTGCCACAGGGGACGTTCTCAGTGATGATGCTGAATGAACCCAGTGAGGAGTTCTGGCCGCAGTAGTCCTGGGGGCCACAAGGGGGAGGTCAGCCAGGACGGCTGGGCCCCAGGTACCCCCCAGGGCACACCCACCCTAGCTGGTGGGGCCACAGCCACTGAGCACACAAACCTGGCCCTGCTCCTGCCCATCCAGGGACCTGACCCAACCGCAGGCCCATCCCCTGTCCCCAGGGATCATGGTGCCTCAAAGGGCTGTGGGATTTGTATCTGGAGAGCCTCGTGGGCGGGGGCCTAGCCCTGGCCCTTACTCAGCTCCCTATATAGGTACCCTCAGTCCCCATGGCTGGGCAATCAACCCCACCCACCTCGTGCACCCACAGGAGGGCCACAGAACCGGATGGTGCAGAGGGGATTTTACCATCCCCACCCACCCCTGGCTAGAAGGCCAAATCTCCCTGCAGGTGTGGGTCTGGGGCTGAGGAAAAGCCAGCCCTCCCAAGTCTCAGGACTTCTCAGGGAGCTGAGAGCCTTGCTCAGGGCAGGCAGAGGGTCCCTGACCACAAGCAGCCGGCTAGGCCGTGGCCGTGACCGCACCTGAACAGCCACGTAGGAGCAGTGTCCGTCAAAGTCATAGTACTTCCCATCAAAGGTGATGTAGTGGCCGCTCCCATAAATGGAACAGGTGCCGTGGCACACAGCCTGGGAGCACGCCCAGCGTCCTTTCTGGCAGGTGCTGAGGAGGACAGGAGAGGAGCCTGAAGGGACCCAGGGGCCGAGGCCACCCCACCCACTCATGGGTGCCTGGAGGAGACCCTGGGCACCGGGCACCACACAGGACACCTGCAGGCCCATGCTGGCCCCAAAAGTGGCTCCAAATGCCCCTCCCCCCATGGCTTCAAGACCAGCAGCTGACATGAGAGACCTCCCCCCAGCCGTGGGACAGGGGCCACCACAGGACCTCGCCAGACCCAGGCGGACCCCCCAAGAGAGGCGCCTGGCCCTCGGCCCGTGCTCGTGGCCACCCCTGTGGAGCACATGGGGCCTGGGAGGCAGCCAAGACGGGCCGGGCCGGCTCACCAGGTGTTGCAGTCCACCTTGATCTTGTCCCCGGGGGAGTACAGGTCCTTGTTGTGGACGCAGGGGCACTTCTCCTCCGCCACGCAGCCGCCCCGGCCGTCGTCCATCAGCCCATCGGGGCACACGCAGCCACTGACACACTCTGTGTGGTACTGGAGACAGCCAGAGGGTGGGGTTCGGGGGTGGACCGGTGAGGCTGCAGCCCTCCCTGGGGTCAGGATTGGATGCCCGGCCAGGATTGCCATGCAGTCTCCGTCATGTTCTGGACCTCCCACCTCTCTCTCTGGCCGGGGCTCAGGCCTCCCCGCTCAGGCCCACTACTGGGCAGGGAGACTGGTGAGGGCTGCCCGCCGAGGGCCCTACACTGGCCCCTGTGCCCCAGTGGCCCACAGGCTGCCGCTTCCCTCCCAGGGACAGGGACAGCATCAACAGGGCCTGCATCCTCAGGACTCAGCACACAGACCCTGGCCGGGGGCACAGTTCAGGAGCCGGGCTCAGCCAGCCAGCCAGCCAGGCACCCCCGCCAACCCACAGCAGTCCCCCCAGCACGCACATAGCCGGCGGCCAGCGTCTGACAGCTGAGGGCTCGGGGCTTCAAGGTGGCCAGTGCGGTCAGGTTATTGCAGTCCATGTGGATCTTCGGGGCCACACAGCCTGTGGGACGGAGGGGTCACCTCAGCTCCAGCTGAAGCTGGGGGTCTCAGGCAGGCTGGGGAGGTGTGGCCGGGGAGGGTGACTGGGGCGGATCGCTGGGGTGGGCAGGTGGGCGGCCGGAGAGGGGTGGCCAGGCTGGGGAGGGGTGGTGGGGAGGGGTGGGGGGGAGGGGTGGTTGGGGAGGGGTGGTGGGGAGGGGTGGTTGGGGAGGGGTGGGGGGAGGGGTGGCGGGCAGGGGTGGCAGGGAGGGGCGGCGGGCAGGGGCGGCGGGGAGGGGTGGTGGGGAGGGGTGGCGGGCAGGGGTGGCGGGGGCAGCGTCACTTACTCTGGCCGAGCAGCCGAATTTGCATACAGTGCAGCTTCCCGTTCCGGCAGACACTGTGGGAGAGGTCAGAGATGAGCAGGGCCCACGCAGGACGACCACAGACAGCAACAGCTTCCGCGGGACACGTGTGAGCCTAGCAACTCTCAGAGCCCCCACCCAGGACCCCTCCGCCTTGGGCATCTCAGCCTCCGCAGGCAGAGCCTCCCAGGTCTCCGGGGCCCAGCACCCACCATCGTTCCTCCTGCCTGACGACCACGTCCCCTGCCTCCAGGTACAGGCCGCGGTGGTAGCAGGAGCACTTGGCCAGGGGCACGCAGTGGCCCTTCTCGTCCAGGAAGGTGTGGTCGGGGCAGCCACAGCCGTCCACAGGCGCGAAGCCCTCGAGACAGTGGCTGTCGGCCTCGGAGAGGGAGCGGCAGGTCTGCTGGCAGGTGGTCAGGTTGTACAGGAAGACCTGTGAGCTGGGGCAGGAGCCCACGTCCTTGTCTGCCGAGGACCACGGGTGGCGTGAGGGGCGTGAGGAGCCAGACGCGTGTCTCCCATCCCCAGGGCGGCCCGGGGGCCAGGGAGTGCACACTCTGGGACCCACTCCCACACTCGGCCGCCACAGTGCCAGGCCCGTCCCTGGTTCCATCCCTGCTGTGTGGCCGCCCCTTGCTGTGGGAGGGGCTGGTTTCCCACTACCACCGGCCTGTGAAGCTGAAGCCTGGTCCACAGCTGCCTGGGAGCCGACCCCTCTCCCAGGACCACCGGTGCTCAGGGCCCCAGCCCCGTCCCAAGAGCTCGAAGCCCAGCCCCATCCCCAGGACACGGCCCACGCCACCCGCCCGTGCTCAGGGCCCCAGCCCCGTCCCAGGAGCCTGAAGCCCAGCCCCGTCCCCAGGACGCAGCACGCAGGGTCACACTCACTGCAGACGCGCTCCCGCCAGCCCCACAGCATGACGCCCTTGGCGGCGCAGGCGCGGGCGTAGGAGGACAGGGCGGCACACAGGCAGTCCTCGTTGTTCTGACAGTTGCATGTGTCATATTTGCACCTCTGGGTGACAGAGCAGGGTGGGCGGTGAGGCCGGGAGGCAGAGTGGCTGGCACTCACACATACAAGCTCCCATACCTCACACACACAACCAGCGGGCCGGGTGCACCAAGTCCACCTCACGTGTGACGTGGGGGTCTGGGGTACCCTGAGTCCACCTCGATGGCGTCGGAGGCTGGGGGTGCGGGTCCCACCCACCTTGTAATACTCAGCGGGGTCCACAGCCGAGTGGCACCTGCCGAAGGGGGTCTCTGTCTTCTTGAGGAGGGAGCACCAGTGCTCAGCGTAGGTGGCTGGGGAGTGGGTATCAGAACCTCAGCAGGACCTGGGACCCCCATGAGATCCCCTGGACCCCAGACATGGTTCCCCCTGTGTACCCATGCCCAGTCTGCTTCCTCCCCCGGAATCAGATTTCCAGGCAGCCCGAGGCTGGGTAGAGCCCCCTGCAGGGCACCCACCACCTCCCATCTCTCACCCAGGGCCCAGCATCCCAGTAGGATCCAGCCCAGGCTCTCTTCCGGGTCACCTGGCAGGCTGCCGCCATGGCCACCATAAACCAGCCCCAGCAGGAAGTCGAAGGTGCCATGCTGCCCCGTGGGGAGAGCCGCCTAACTGCCCTCCCCACCCACGCATCCGGCTGGAGCCCCGTCTACCCGTGGAGGCCACGGGCGGGTCCCCCAGGTGGGCTGGGCGGGTGCCCGCGTTGCCAAGCCTCACCACTCTCGATGTTCAGGGAGCAGGGGTCGTCCAGCCAGTCCACCTTGTCACGGCAGCTGGACTGTGCCTTCCAGGTGTTGGCGAAGCCAGCTCCCGTGGCCTCCACCAGCCCGCTGGCCGTCTTGAAATCGTCGCCTTCCAGGCCGTTGAAATTACCGCAGAGCCCTGAGGGGCCAAGGCAGGTTGGGAAGGGTCAGGGACTGGCAGGGCAGGGCCCCCTACGGGCCTTCGTGGGGGCGAGCTTGGCGGGGCCACTCACCCTGCACCTGCCCCTGGGCGGCCGGGTCCAGCGTCACGAACAGTTGCATGACCGGGGCCAGCTGCACCTGCAGCCGGAGGCCGGCGGCCACGCTCACGACGATGTGGTAGGAAGATGGGCGGAAGATGGAGAAGCTCGCTGTGGGCAGGGGCACAGTGAGGGGCACAGTGAGGGGCAGGGTGAGGGGCAGGGTGAGGGGCAGGGTGAGGGGCAGGGAGATGGGCAGGGCAAGGGGTGGGGCAAGGAGCGGGGTCCCGGGACCTGCCAGGCTCAGGTGGGCAGCCGGAAGGTGGCACCCTCCCACCGCCCCCTCCAGCAGAGAACCCAGGACGGAGCCTTCGGGGCACCACAGGACCCTCCCACTGTGGGATCTTCCCACCCAGCTTCCTGGGTCGGAGGTGGCGGCTGGACCGTCCACATCACAGCAGGCCCCGTGGAGCTCGAAGGGCCCAGGCTCCTCACCAGTCACGTGGGGCAGGTTCACCTGCAGCTCATTGAGCAACACGCTGCCGTCGGACTTGAAGACCACCACCTGGGGAAGGGCCGAGGGTGGTCAGGGCAGAGAAGGGCCCCCTCGGAAGGCCCGGGGCCCCAGAAGGAGAGGGCGCGGCCGCTCACATTCTTCTTCCCGTCGGCCAGCAGCACCACCGTCTTCAGGCAGGTCTGCTTGTCCGTGGAGCCGCAGGGGGCCAGCTCACCCAGGAGGGCGTAGGAGTCATTGTCGCCCTGTGACAGGGCGGGAGGCAGAGTCGGCGCTGAGGGCCGGGGCGGGCAGCACCCTGCACCCTGAGACCCGGCGGTGGCTTAGAAGGGAAGGCCCACTTCTCATCCTCCAGCCAGAGAGCAGAAGCCCCGTCACCTGCCCTGGGACAGCCCACGGGCACCCTGTGCTTCAGGGACAGCCAGCCCACCACCCCTGGACAGCCAAGGACCTGGATGCCAGCCCAGCTCTGCCCCCACGCCCCCGCCCCTGGGTGGCCTCTACCTTGGCCAGGACGTAGTAGCAGTCCCCGTGGAAGGTGAACTTCTTCCCATCGAAGGTGGTGATGTGGGACCCGCCTTCCAGGGCGCAGGTGCCAGGGCAGGGCAGGTCTTTGCACACCCAGCGGCCAGCATTGCAGACGCTGTTGAGCCAGGGGCACAGGGTCAGGGCTCTGCCGCCCCTGCCCCTGCCGTGCCAGCCCTGGCCCGGGACTCACCACTGCTCGCAGTCACTGGTGATCTCCTGGCCCGGTGTGTACAGGTGTCCGTGCAGCCTGCAGTGGCACTGGCTCACGGGAACGCAGCCGCCGCCCGCGATGTCATCATACACGGTGCCTGGGATGGCCAGGAAGGCAGCGTCACCCGGGCTAGCTCAGAAAGAGCCAGAATCCCCACTGGGGGGCCGCCAGCCAGGCCTCCCACCCGCAGGCACCGCCGGTCCCCTGCGCTGATGCCTGCGGTCCCCACCCGGTCCCTGGGTCAGGGCCTAGCCGTGGGGCCCCAGCCTCCAGGCTACCTGCCTGCCTCTGACAGCCGAGCTCCTCCCAAAGGCCTCCAGGCTCCGGCCAGGGGCCGGGCAGGAGGAGGTCTGTTCCCAGGGCGATGACCAGAAGGCAGTCCCCTTCCCGGCCTCCCCGAAGCCAGCCTTGGGGAAGAGCCTCACACCGAGGCCCCTTCTCCCTGGACCCGCCCGGGTATTGGGTGGAGGGAGAGGCACTTCTGTGCCGCCGCTGCCCCCACCACCCAGCGGAGCCGTCCCCTCAGTGCAGGCGAGAACCTGAGGCCAGGGCTGCAGGCGTCTTGCCCGGTGGGCAGTGCCAGGGCGGGGCCGCCTCCACACGCACCTTCCGGGCAGAAACAGCCATCCATGCGGTGCTCCTCGCACAGGCTGCTCACTTGCAGGTGCGAGCAGGTGTCCATGCAGGGCGAGCCGCTCTCCAGGTACACCAGGTTCCCGGGGCAGGTCTTGGCTGCAACCGCAGAGGCCCGAGGTGAGGGTGAGGCTGGGGCCCAGCAGCTGCTGCACCCCCAGGTGCAGCGAGAAGGGCTCCCAGCCTGTGGGGAGCGTCCCCTGCTCCCGGTCCCCTGCGTAGACACGGCTCTCACCCCCACCCCCAGGCTTGGGGGGACAGCACAGGTCCCCCCTGGAGTCCCCTGCCCGCAGGGCACCAGCACGTACGGCAGAGCGAGGCGGTCCTCCAGTTCCCGGGCCGGCCGCCGGCATGGGAGCACTGGCGGGAGAACTCGGCCACCGTGCTGCAGACGCAGGCGTCCCCGTCCCCGCCGGAGCAGTGGCAGCGGTCCTGCTGGCAGGCTCGCAGGTACGGCTCCAGCGGCACCCGGTCCTGGCAGTCGGCGAAGGCCTCGGCGGTCAGCAGCCGCTCGCACTCGGCGCGCTGGGAACGGACGTGGGTGAGCGCGCTGCTCAGGGGCCGGCCCCACCGGGACCCCCACCGGGACCCCCACCGGGACCCCCACCGGGACCCCCACCGGGACCCCCACCGGGACCCCCACCGGGACTCACGTGCTCGGCGCAGGACGCCGGGGCCGGCTCCTCCTCGGGGTCCTCGCACTCCACGTCAGGCTGGTTGATCTTCTGCATGTTCCCGAACTCCAGGGCACTGAAGAGCACGCCTGGGGACGCGCGGCCTTCAGCGGGGCTCCCGGCAGCCCCCAGCCCACCGCGCCCCTGCCAAGTCCCCCGGGTCTCACCGTCAGAGAGGAATTCCGAATAGCTCTGCAGGCCGTTGTAGTCCCCGCAGAGGCCACAGGTGTGGTTCCGGAACTTACTGTCCAGCTCCAGCTGTCGGGGAGGGAGCGGGTGAGCTGGCCTCCAGGACGGTGGCCAGGAACCCACTCGCTGCTCGTTTGAGCCAGAGCAAGGTGGGACGGGGGGAGGGCAGGTGCCCGAGAAGCCGAGGATCAGGGGATCAGGGCCAGGCCGGCTTCTGCTGCTGCCCCCCAAGTCCAGCGCCGACACCCTGCCCTCCCTTGGGGTCCACCCGGAGGCCTGACGGAGCCCCCACCAGCCCCACGAGCCCGGGGCCCCTGAGCACCATGACGGCGTCCTCACGGTTCCACAGCAGGGCGAGGCCGGCGCGGGAGTACACCTTGGTGTAGGCGTCGCTCTTCTCGATGAGCAGCCCGGGGCTGTAGTGCGGGGCGCTGACCCTGGCCGGAGCACGTCGGGGTCACTCTTGGGTCCGCCGCCCAGACCCCCCGACCCTGGCTTGTCCTCCCGGGACCCTGCCGCCCAGAGGGGACTGAAGCTGTGCGTGAGTGGTGAGGGCGGCTCTGCCCGGGTCAGGGAACTTGGCCGGCCTCTGCGTGGGAGGACGTGGCCAAAAAGCCCCTGTCCCTCTCTGCCGGCCGGGCTTCCCCGCAGAGCCACCTCCGGCCTGGACGGCCCTCTCCACTCCCTCCTGGGGGCTCAGTCCTGGGCAGGGTCCCCTCTCAGGGCCTTGAGGACGCCAGGTTGGGAGAGTAGGGAGGGCCAGGCTGCCCAGCCCCCCTCCAGGCCCCGTGCTCAGTGGAACAACCCCCTACGGGGCCCCCCAGGGTCCCCCTGAGGGTGTCAGGGCCCTACCCCACCTTCTGCTGGTGCCCGTGCTGGCCCAGGTAGAGGCATTCACCCCAGCCTCTGCGCCTCGGTGCCCAAGGGCCTCCAGCTGTCCCACCCACCGTGGCCACACCTGAGGGCCTCTGCCCTCCACCCCACCCACACCTGAGGGCCTCTGCCCTCCCCCCCACCCACACCTGAGGGCCTCTGCCCTCCCACCAGCGCCCACACTGGAGCCCCTTGCAGAGAACTGAATCTCCGGGGCTGAAGAAGGGCAAGTCCTGCCGGCGGGGAACATGCTGGACAGGAACGCATCCACAGGGCCTCATTGTTCTGGGGGTGGCGAGGGGCCCCCACAGCCCCCCACAGCCCCCTGCACCCGCTTGTGTCACTCTAGCCTGGGGATGGAGCACACGGCCACTGCATGCACAGGACCAGAGACAGGAGCCTTCAGGGGTGCCAAGGCCGCCCCGAGCCTGGCGGGCTCCCCCGAGGGGAGGAGCTGTCCGGGACACACAGGAAAGGGGTAACTAAAACCCTTTGTCTGTGGGGGAAATTGTGGGGGCTCATCAGTGTTTGTTTGTTGAATGAATTAGTGACCTGAACCCAAACCACAACGCCGTCCTCCTCAGCTGTGTGCTGGGGCAGAAGGGCACCCCTGCGGGAGCCGTCAACCCCCTTTGCTGGACGTGGGAGAGGCACCGCCCACCACACTCACACGGCCCCGTTCAGCACGGCCAGGTGGCGGGTGAGGTAGATGGTGTCGTCCTTGATGGTCAGCAGGATGGACTCCACCCGGGGGGGCGCCCCGGCCTGGCCCGGGCCCCGCTTCAGATGCACGGCGAATTCCTTGTAGGAGCCTTTGCAGTCGGAGGCAAAGTTATAGTCGCAGAGGCCGGGGAAGCGGAAGACGTCGCCGTCGAAGGTCTTGTAGTGGAAGTCGCCCCACGCGCTGCAGACGCTGTGGCCGTGGTCTCGGGCTCTGCCCTCTGAGGGAGCAGCGGGGGACGAGGGGTGAGCGGGGGAAGCTGCCCATGCTGCCCTCGGGAGGAGGGCCCCACGGGAGACCCGGAAGCAGCTTCGAGCCCAGCGCAGGCCCGGGCCGAGAAAGGTTCCCTCCCACCCCAGGGGTCTCAGGCCTTCTACCCCCGCCTCACCCAGCGAGGAGTGAGGCCGGGTGCCGAGCAGGGCGTAGGGGAGGGGGTCTGGGCACCGCAGCAAGGGCTATGCAGCCTCCACCCTTCCGGGGTCTCTGCCACCTGGGAAGGGGGCCTCCTGGTGGGGTCCTGGCCACCCTTCCCTCCCCGACAGACAATGACCCAGCTGAATGGGGCCTGGGCTGCTCTTTCCACCCGGTGCTGGCCCGGGGACCCACATGTTGTCGGGCAGTCAACCCCAAAGCAATGGCAGGGGAACCCCGTCCTTCCAGCCCCTTGAAAGTCAGCAGAGCTGGAGGCTGCAGAGGGCCAACCAGGCCCGGAGCCTCAGCTGAGCCGCCCAGACTGCTAGGGGGCACTCAGGGACCAGCTCCGCCTCCCAGGGGCGACTAGCCTGCCCCGCAGCCCCGGCCCCAGGACACTCTGCCCTCTCACCTGTCTGGAGCTCCGAGCCCCCGGCCAAAGACAGGGCCAGGCAGATGGCTGCCAGGCAGGCTAATGGCAGCCCCATGGTGGCTGGGAGGGGCGGTGTGGGTTGCGCCCGGGCACAGGGGTCCCGGCCTTATATGCCCCAGCAGGAGTGGGAGGGCGGGAAGGTAGAGGAGGGCCAAGGGGTGGGTGTGGCGTTTGCCAGATGAGCAAGAAGACAGCTGTGGGGGCCCGAGCCGTGGGGAAATACTGGTTCAGGTTATCGGAGGTCATCTCTTTATGGCTTCCTGGGTAAACGCAGCCTTCTTCAGGATGCGGCAGCCTGCAGCCCGAATGCCAACACACACCCAGGGAACACGTCCAGCTGCTACCGGGATGAGCCCAGCGGGGCTGGGGGAGGGGTGTCCTGCCAGAAGAACGTCTGGTCAGGCTCCGTAGGCCCCCATAGGCCCCCAGGCCCCGCTGAGCTGGTCCCAGGTCTGATCAGGCTCACGTTACCCTGGGAAGACCAAGCCCTTTCTGGGGCTCAAGCCCTGGGGCAGCTTCCACACCTGACCCAGGAAGGGGCCTCCCCGAGGGCAGGGAGGATATGGGATCCTTCGGGGTCCGGGGGGGTCCCACCGACTTGCGTGGGACGCTTGGCCGGGCTCACGGAGCTGTGTCAGAGGCCCCAGCACCCCCCACCCTCTAAGCCCATCCTTTTCCCAGGCTGAGCCAGTCTCTGGAATTACATGTAGTTGGAACTTGCGGGGTACCCACCCAGCCAGGGGAAAGGTTACAGAATCTGGCACGTGGGGAGCCAGCGGGTGGCCGGACGTGGCCATCTGTCTCTTCTCCTGGGGACCTCAGGGCTGAGGGCTGAGAAGGGAATGGCCTGCCCGTGCTCTCCAGAGCCACCTCTCACTCGGGGTGGGGGTCAGGGCCCTGAGGCCTCTGCTGAGTGCAGTCTCACCCACCGAGCCCAGCAGGTGTGTGGAAAAGCCTGGAGAGCTGGAGCTCACAGCCACACAAACCGTGAGACCTCTGGGTACACCATGCTCGCCCCAGCCCGGGAGGACGCAGGCAGGTGTCGCCAGTGGGTAAACTGAGGTCTGGGGGCCCTCCCCCCTCTCTACATTTTTCTCCTCCTGAAAATAGAGCCCGGCCCTGAGTGGGGCTTATGGCTTTGGCCCAAGGCGAGGGGGACGTGCTGGCAGGATGCTGGCCGTGGGGAGGGCTAACCCCAACAGTTATGGAGACTCAGGGCCCGAGGCACCAAGCCTCTTTCCCTGGCTGACCTGCTTCTCGGACCAGGCTCCCGCAAAGAGGCGGTGACCCCCCGGAGCTGGAGCCCGCACCTGGACTGAGCCGGGTCGGGGAGCCCTGCCAGCCTTCCCTAGCCTGGCCCTCCAGCTGCACCTCCCACTCAGGACCCACAGGGTTCCCCGCCCTGCAGAGACGTCAGGGATGAGGGTGGCCAGGAGCCGGGCCTGGGATGAAGCCCCTCCCGGCCCCCTGTGGTGCCCACCAGCACCAGCACCAGGCCCCAAGTCTGCGCTCCATGCCAGGACCTGGGCACGTGGGGAAAACTGAGTGTGTGGCCCCAGCCGGCAGGACCAGGGATTAGGAAACTGGAGCCCACGGGGCCAGGCCAGAGGGGACCGTTGTCCACCTCCCTGTGTGGCCTCCGCACACCGGCACTGAGCCCTGGGAAAACCCAAGGACGGCCCCAACTTCGGCCCCCACCCCCAAGGGGCCTCGGGGCAGATTTTCCAGGCCAGGCCCCCGGCTGGGGGGAGCACAGGCTGCCTGGCACAGCCCTCCTGCCCTGAGGCGTGAGGTGCCCTGAACCTGTGTCCCCTCTGGGCGGGCAGTGGTGGTGCCCAGACTCAGGGGTCTGACCCTAACACCCCTCTAGGCCCGCGGCCAGGTCCCAGGTGGGAGCCCTGTCTGAGCTCACGGGCAGCCCTGCGTGGGGCGGGGTGCGAAGAGCTGAGGCCCATTCCTAACATGGAAACGGAGCTGGGGAAGACAGCAGCGAGGGGTCCATCGGGCCGGGGTGACTGGAGTCACTGGCACCCCACAGCGAGAGTGTCCCCAACGTCGACTCCCAGCCTCGGCTGGTCCCCAGCATCTCCCGGGGTCTTGGAGGCAATGGGGGCTGGGCAGGCCGGCAGGGTGGGAGAGTGGACAGCCGCACCGCCCGGGGACCCCGTCACCACCCTGTGGCTTTCCCATGGGACGGGAGGGGTCCCGGTGGCGGGAGAGAGTGGGGGCTTTGCCCGCTCCAAGAAAGCTGCCTGTCGGTTCTGCCTTCTGTGTCAAGGACGTGCCGGCCACCCAGCGGCGAGCCGGATGCTGTGGAGCCAGGAGCTGACAGCGCCGGCCCCACGCCAGGCTGCCCCAGCCTCAGGCCCTCCTGGGACTCAGAGCCAGGGCCACGTGGAGCTCAGACCCCCACACAGACAGCATCCTGGCCTCCCGACCTCTCCCCGCCCCACCCACACCCGGCGTGTTTACCCTGACGAGATGCTGTCGCCAAGGCCAGCACGGAATTCAGTCGTGACCACAGGGAGGAGGCAGCACGGACGTCACGGGGCGCCTGGAGTGACGCCCCCTCGCCACTGTGTTTCCACAAACCTGACTCACCAGGAAGCCCAGGTGAGGGGAAGCCATTCAGGGGTCAGAGCCACCCAAGGAGGAGGGACAAGGGAAAGGACAGGGAGGAGGAGGAAGTGGAGGCTGGGGAGGGAGGGGAGCAGAGGGAACCCCTGCGCTGCTGGGGGAGCCGAAGACAGCAGGCGCGTCCCCCGCCCCGTCCAGTGGCTCACCCGTGGCTCGGGCAGTGGCTGAGTCTGCCTGGCGGGCCACGGCTCCCGTCTGCGGCTGGGGCTGGGCTGGATGCCGCTGTGAAGGGATTTCTCAAATGTGACCCTGGACAGGCGGGCGGGCCTCACACCATCCGCAGAGGCCTTGAGGAAGAGACGGATGTCCTCCATGGGACACGGCGAGCGGCCTCCTGCTGGCCTCCGGGGTCTCCAGCCGGCGGCCCCGCCCTGCATGAGCCAGCTCCCTAGAGTAACCCCGCGGCCCGCTGGCTGTTTCCCTGCAGAACACCAGTGCTCCCCGCTCGGCCAAAGCCTCCGCCAGGGGTGGGAGACCGGCACAGAGCCTGGCTTCCCGGAGAGCACCCACGCACACCGCAGCTCCCTGCACCCCCCACGGCAGCCCCTCCCCCCAGGCCTGTGGGGTCCAAAGGTGGCCCCCATCGCTGGTCACTGAAATGTCGGCCTTCAGCAAGCGCAGGCCACCCACTCCTCAGCCACATGTCATCTGGGGCCATTTTTCCATGATCCCCCGCATGTGGAAGATCTGATTATCAGCCCACATTACAGAAGGGGAAACTGAGTCAGTGGACATCTTGTGCCTCCATCATAAGACCAGCGACTCAGGGCACAGGAAGCCAGGCTGGCCCACACCCATTCTTCGGGCCTGAGCCACCCTGTCGCTGCCCACCCTGCCAGCACCGGGCTGCCCAGGCCCAGCCAACTGGGCTTAACCAGAGTGGTGGGGGCTGGCACGCACCCCCAGCACCATGGCTCTGGACTGCCTCGGTGGGCAGATGGAGAGCACACCCAGAGAAGCCACGGTTCTCGGCCCTCTGGGCACCAAGGGGGACCCCGCCCCAGCCACAGCCCCACACAGGGACAGAGCGGTAGGGCCCAGGCCTGCACCCTGGCAGGCAGCATCTGAGGATTCAAGGGAGGGCAAATCAAACACCAGCCATGCCCACCTCCCAGGGCAGACTCAGACCCCAAGCATGCCCACTTTCTGGACCCCCAAAGGTTCTGAGACCCCTGGAGGGAGGTGTGCACATCACCTCCCAAGGCTGCGAGGGTGAAAGGCGGGATGTTGGGGCCACGCTGTGTGAGGGGTGAGCAAGTGAGCACACAGAGTGATTGTTCTCAGGTGAGGGGTTGAGAGAGGCCAAAACCAGGCCAGGCCTCCGCTGGGCAGGCAGACACTGGGAGGCTCCGCTGCGGAAAGGGCAGCCCGGGGCCAGGGTCGTCAGGGGAGAGCTGTGCTTCTGGAGTCCAGACACCTGGGGTAATTGCTCTTCAAGATTTGGTCCAGGTGCCACATCCCTTCACTGAACACTGTCCTCACCACCTTGGCCATACTGTGTGACCCCTCCTGCTCGGAATGCTCAAAGGCAGCAGCCCATGTGGGTCCCCCATGGCCGCCCTCACAGCAGATGCACTCAATAACTTTGCTTTCGGTGGGTGAGTGGATGGATGGTTGGGATGAATGGATGGATGGGTGGGTGGATGGATGGAGGGAGGGAAGGATGGATGAATGGGTCAGTGGGTGGGTGGATGGATGGACAGATGGTTGGATGGATGAATGGATGGATGGAGGGAGGGAGGGAAGGAGGGAGGGAAGGAGGGATGGGTGAATGGAGGGAGGGAGAACTGGATGGGAGGGAAGGAGGGGTGGAGGAAGGGAGGGAGGGATGGGTGAATGGAGGGATGAATGTAGGAATGAATGGAGAGAGGAAGGGATGGAGGGAGGGAGGGAGGGAGGAGGGATGAATGGCTCAGTGGCTGGGTGGATGGATTAGAGAATGGACAGCTGGATGGATGAGTGGATGGGTGGACGGATGGGTGGCTGAAGGGATGGCTGGATAAACGGACAGGGGGAGGGAGAAATGAGTGAGTGGATGGGTAGGTGGGTGGGTGGATGGATGATTGGGTAGATGGATGGATGGATTAGTGGGTGGGTGGATGGACAAATGAAATCCCCCTGGTACCAGAGCTCACCTTCCATGGCAGCTCCACACGACCTCACCATGTGCAGGTTCAGCCCAAGGGCTCTATAACCCCGCCTCACTGGAGCCCTCAAGCCTGGGAGGAAGGCACTCGCCTCACTCCATCCTACAGACAAGGAAACCGAGACTCAGAGAGGGTGAAAGCTCTCCCAGCCTCACCCAGCCCAAGCATGTCAGTGCTGCAACGTGGTCCAGAGAATCTCCACAGCCCCAAACGCACACTGTCTAGCGCTTGATAATGGCGTGGCCACTTTTTGCAAAGGAGACTTTTGCTT